GGATGGGATGGGATGGGATGGGATGGGATGGGAGATGCCTTTCGCTTAGCTCCTGGGAATCTTGCCGGTGGGAATGTTTGGGCAAGGCCCTACAGTTTCGAAACCCGTTTTGGATTCGAGCTGAGATAAAGCAACCACCTTGACGTGGAGAAATGGCCCTGAAAGAGATGCAGAGGAAAATTCCTGCATCCCGTTGGAGGTACTGAGACCTCCGGGATAACTCCTTCCCCTCCTCTGGAAGTTCGTACGGGGATTTCTGTTACAGCTGCAAAAAGACGACAAGAAGAGTCACCCGGGGGGGAGGCAAAGAAAGGAGCGACTTAATCCCGATGGGAGCATCCCCTTCCTTTCTTCTGGCCTCCAAAACGATGCTCTGCCAAAGGAGAACCTGAACGGATGGGTCTGGAAAGAGGAGTCCCGTGATTTCTGACTGTTGGTTGCAAAGACCTCGGATCTGACCTGATCTCGGTGCCTCTTACCCCAAAGCTGTGTCCCCAGAGCTGAATCTGAAACACCCAGGTCCTGCGGATGAGGAACCAGGTCGCATCCAGACACAACGGCTGGATAATTTACCCTGAGACTGTCTAAGAACTGGCTTCCTGGGGGCCGGTTTATCGTCTGGAATGGAGTCACCATCGTCTTGGTTGGAGCGCTCTGCCTGCCAGTAGCCTCTGGAAATCCAGGGGCCGGTTTCTACCACAAGGCAGGATCCGCCATCCCGCATTGCCTACAGCTCCACTGATTGACCTTTGTCGACGGATACCCCTCCACCGTGGGAGCTCAGGGAAGCTGCTGAGATGCCTTCAAGGAGCTTGGTGGAATCTAAATCCGCTGGTTGGTTTCTAAAGGCTCAAGAGCGACCCTTGGGGTGACCAGGGATGCTTCTCTAATGAGCGTTTGCAGGAGGAAGGTTCCCACCCTCCGACTTTGGCAGCGCTGCTGGGACCGGATAGTGGCAAATTCCAGGTGGCCTGAAATGCGGGCGTCTCCCATTGCCACCCATCACAGGCTGTAATCCCCACCAGCACAAACCAGTCCCACTGGTAAATTCCAATGTCCCAACCTTCGGTGGAAGGGAATTGCAGATGCCGTGGACCAGAGCCACCTTGCACGTGCTGCTATCAATACAGCCCTTCGCCCAGGTGCTCAACATTTGGAGTCGCGACTCCTCCCCAAAATAGGCAAAAAAGTCTGGGATGCCCCAGACCGCGGCATGGAGGACTCAGCCCCAACACCCGTAAGGACATCTCAGAGAACAAGGACTTGATATCTTCCATTTGAAAGTCCTACTGCATGTTTTTGGGGTGGGAGGAAGGTCTTTTTCTTGAAAACACACCTTTTTTTTTTTTTTTTTTTGCGCTGACTATCCTTTTTTTTGTAAATCTCCTCTCCTCCCACTTGGACACAACTCGGCATCAGGGGTTCTTCTCCAGTGGCCTTGGCCAAGGTGCCACCTGGGGTTCCCAAAAGGCTTTGCCTGCGTAGAGCTGTAGATGGAGACCAGGAGGGACACCAGGAGCACGGCGCAAGGCTTTGGACTCCCGTTGTGTGGACACCCAAGCGGAGCTCTGCGTGGTGACGGCCTCAAGGTGGTCACGGCCTCAAGATGGCCACCCTGCAAACCTCGTTCATCATAAATACCCTGACAATGGGAGGGGCTCCTCATCTTGTAGACGCCTGACGTTGGATGGGGTGGGATTGCCTCTCAGAACGTCCCTTCCTCTCTCCAAGGACCATCGACGCTGGGGAAGTCCGGCCGACGCCCACCTGCTGCAGCCACCTAAAGCAAAGGGAGATGCTTTCGCAGCGACCTAAAGCGAAGGGAGATGCCTCCAGAGACCTGAAAGGCTGGGAGAGATCCATGTCAGAAGTGGGGGCTTCGAGTGGTGAGACCCTTTTTCTATGATATGACCAAAGACCCCGAAACCAGGCTGGTGGCCCTCTCTCTTTCTTCTCAAGCAACCTGGTGGGACCAAGACATCTTGGCTCCAGAGTGACGTAAGGACTCGCATTCCTGAGTGAACTCCTCTTATCATTTCTCCCTGTGTCAGGGCTTCTCCTGCTTGTGTTGATGCAACCGTCTCCTACCCTGGCCCTAACTAGGAGACCTGGGTACATGAGCCATCCAGGAGGTAGGAGGCTTTTTGAGCTGGTCCTACAGGCTTTCTCACTGGCCAAGGACGAAGAAATCAGCTCTTTTAGAGGTGCGTCATCTCCCTTTTGGAGTCCAATCTTGGGCTGGGAGGAATCTTAGAGGTGGAACGGATGCCCCTCCCAGAAGCACATGGCGAAACCGGTGGAGATAAGTGGCCCCTGGTGACTTCCTGACGCGCTGTGATTTCCAGGACAGCTCATGCGCAACCTGGCGTGACAGACCGGTCCCAGGGGTCTCCCTGGGGGAGCTCCCACCTCAGTCCTCTGCCTGGGGTGGGTGGTCAGGTCATGGAGTCATGGGCTCCATCAAATGGCACCGGGAGAAAACAGACCTTCAAGGACTGGTTCAATCTTGGCTACGAATGGTTGGATTTCAACTGGTCCCCAAATCATCTCTTTTTCATCAACAAATAGCCCGGTGGGGCCCCAGTAGGCTGATAGGTGACTCGGTAAATTTAAAAAAAAAAAAAAAAAAGATTATTTTTAGGTTTTTAAGATGATTTTAACTGTTCTGATGGGAGTCTGAGGCTGAAAAAGAGCGACCTTTCCCTTTTCCCTTTCGTGTCACCTTGTTAAAGACTCCCTTTTGCACGTTTCGCCGCCTTTTCAACCCAAACCAGCAGGTTTCTTGGGCAGACCTCCACAACGTGCTCATGATGCCTTTCGGTGCTCTGTGTTACAGTGCCGGAGGACGAGTCCCGTATCATCGGTGGGAGACGCTGCTCCATCATCCAGCGGCCTTTCCAAGTTGCCCTCATCAAGAGGGGTCAAATCCTGTGCGGGGGAAGCTTGGTAGATGCCGAATGGGTCCTGACAGCCGCCCACTGCAGGCAGCCAATGAGGTAAGCTGGGCCCGTGCTCCTGTGCCCCACGGCTTCCTCTGAGCCAATGTCTCCTTCCCCAGGACCCCTCAATGACCAAGGGTGAGAGGTGAGCCCTCCAGGTGTTAGCGCCCAGATGTTGGCACATCCAGGGGATGATGCTTCCAAATGGTGGTATCCAGAGAGCGACGCCCGGCATGTTGGCAACTACAGAGTTTGCGGCCTCCAGATGCGAACACCTTCAAATTTTGGTGTCCAGAAGTTGAGTCTGGTACCACCGGGGATTGGTAGCTCCAGAGGTTGGCACGTCCAGATGTTTGTACCCGAGATGTTACCTCCAGAGTCTGGTGTCCCACAGCCAATAGCTCTAGATGTTGATGGTCCAGGCATGGGTATCTCCAGATGTTGGTGTCCAGGTGCTGGTACCTCTAGAGGGCAATGAAGGTACAGCTGTCCTCCACACGGAGACCGGAGGAGCTGATGCAGCCTTTGCAGGGCGACAACCTCCACCTTCGTCACCTTTGCAGGGTGACAACCTCCACCTAAGAAGCCCTAGGGGAGCCAACCTCCCCTCACTTTGAGGTCCATCACCCCCCTTTTTCCAGGTGATGACACTAAGTGGAGCAGACCCCCCCCTCTCCCAGTCAAGATTCTCCAGCTTCTCCACAAGGTCCTGTGAGAGGAAGCTGGACCTTTCGGAGGGGAAATAATGAAAAAAGCAGAAGAAAAGTCGGCAAGAAGTTGGGCTCAGGGCAATGTTGCTGAGATGTTGCAGGTGGGAGACTCCTGGAGTCGGGAAGATGGAGTCAAGGAGCTGAAGTCAAGAGATGCAAGAGTTTCCTGTGGAGATGGGAGATGCCCCCCCAGGGTACCTGAGCCATCAAAGAGCTCTTGGAGGAGAGCTCATGAATGCTCAAGGCATTAGGGTGTTTTCCTGGCCTCCTCCCCAAGGGAGATGGGATAAGGTCATCCCACAGCCATATCACCTTAACTCTGCCCTGTGGAGAAGCTTCAACGGACAGGTCTTGACCATCTCCTTGGCAGACAACCCTTGAGGCCAAGCGTTTATGTGTCTTCTTGGGAGGGACCAGCACTGATTTCTTGACCTTCTTCCCCTGGCAGAGAAATCAAGGTGTTAATTGGGACGGACACATTACGGGACGGCACGGGGCTAGTGAGGTTGATTTCAAAAATCGTGGTCCATCCGGCCTACAACTACCGCAGGATTGACAACGACTTCATGCTCCTGAAGCTGAACAAGCCCGTTAAGTTCAGCAACAACATCAAGAAGATCCGATTAGCCACGGAGTGTCCCATGGGCGGGATGAAGTGCACCGTCTCTGGTTGGGGCACGACCAAGTCCCCTGGAGGTACTGGCTTGTGATGGAGACCTCGGTGGAAGAGGTGGGATGGCGGGAGGAGGACTTGGGCAAGGGGGAGGGCTTGCCAAGGAGGCCAGGTGGCCTTCTCAGCCGGGAAAATGGGATAAGGGCTTCCCTCATGTCACCTGAACTCTGCCCAGTGAGCAGCTCCCTGTGGAGAATGACTTCTAGTTGGGTTTTCCCTCTCGGGGTTGGGTTTCCTTTGTGTTGACCTACCCGCCTCCGGTGGAGGCATCTCTGTTGTCCACCTCCCGATGAACCCTACTGAAAGTGTAATGAGGTCTGCTCAGGCCTCAGCATTAGGGGGCTGCCCCTTCTCACCGTCTCTCTCTCCCCCACCACCACCTTGTTCTGCAGCAAAGCTGCCCCAAGATCTGCAGTGTGCCAACATCCAAACCTTCGGGGCGGAGAAGTGCAGCAGGGCGTACGGGAACGCCCTCACCGCCAACATGTTCTGCGCCGGCGTCCCCCAGGGGGGCATCGATTCCTGCCAGGTAAGGGGCGGGGGGGGGGGGTGAAGTCCTTTCAGCCACCTCCGAGGTTGCTGCTGGGCAAAGGAGGGCCTTGGCGCGGCTTTGAGTTCAAACACAAGGTGAGATGGGTCCATCCGTGCAAGTCTGGGCTTCCTTTAACCCAAGCCATAAAACCAGGGAAGGGCCACGGCACGTGGATGTGTCCACGCAAGGTCAGGGATCCCCACAACTACCTCACGCTTGAGCCACGGAGCTGGGGACGGGCCCCAGCAGGTGGACAAGCCCGTGCAAGGTTTGGGTTCCTCCATTATCTCCAACCCAAGCGATTATCTCCAACCCAAGCCATAAAACTAGGGAAGAGCCACGGCACGTGGCTGGTTCATGCGAGATCTGGGTTCCCCACAGCTGCCTCATACTTGATCCACGCAGCTAGGGGTGGGCCCTGGCACGTGGACAGGGCCGTGCAAGGCTTGACTTCCTCCACCATTATCTCCAACCCAACCCATAAAATCTGGGAAGGGCCACAACACATGGATGAGTTCATGCAAGGTCCGGCTTCCCCACAGCTACCTCATACTTGAGCCACAGAGCTGGTGATGGGCCCTGGCACGTGGATGGGTTCCTCCACCGTTATCTCCAACCCAACCCATAAAACCAGGGAAGGGCCACGGCACGTGGACAGGTCCATGCACGGCTTTGGTTCCTCCACCGTTATCTCCAACCCAACCCATAAAACCAGGGAAGGGCCACGGCACGTGGACAGGTCCATGCAAGGTTTGGGTTCCTCCACCATTATCTCCAGTCCAACCCATAAAACCAGAGAAGGACCATGGCACGTGGACAGGTCCATGCACGGTTTGGGTTCCTCCACCGTTATCTCCAACCCAAGCCATAAAATCTGGGAAGGGCCACGGCACGTGGATGGGTCCATGCAAGGTTTGGGTTCCCACCAAGGACCGTCTGCTTGAGCCCTGGAGCAGGGGATGGGCCGTGGCATGTGGACAGGTCCATGCAAGGTCTGGGTTCCCATCCACGACCTTCTGCTTGAGCCCCAGAGCAGGGAAGGACCACAGCACGTGGACAGGTCCATGCAAGGTCTGGGTTCCTCCACCGTTATCTCCAACCCAACCCATAAAACCAGGGAAGGACCATGGCACGTGGACGGGTCCATGCATGATTTGGGTTCCCACCAATGACCTTCTGCTTGAGCCCCGGAGCAGGGATGGGTCGTGGCACGTAGACAGGTCCATGAACGGTTTGGGTGTCCACCAAGGACCTTCTGCTTGAGCCCCGGAGCAGGTATGGGTCGTGGCACGTAGACAGGTCCATGAACGGTTTGGGTGTCCACCAAGGACCTTCTGCTTGAGCCCCGGAGCAGGTATGGGTCGTGGCACGTAGACAGGTCCATGAACGGTTTGGGTGTCCACCAAGGACCTTCTGCTTGAGCCCCGGAGCAGGCATGGGTCGTGGCACATGGCCAGGCCCATGCAAGGTCTACGCCCCGCCCCCCAAGCGAGACCCACCACGTGCCCTTCTCCCCACAGGGCGACTCTGGGGGTCCCTTGGAGTGCAACGGGGTGCTGCAAGGCGTGGTCTCGTGGGGCATGGCCGTCTGCGGGCGCCGGGGTCAGCCCGGCGTCTACTCCAACGTCTGCCGAGC